TGCGCTGGATTATGGAGAAAGCCAGAGAGTTCCAGAAAAATATCTACTTCTGCTTCATTGACTATGCAAAAGCCTTTGACTGTGTGGACCACAGCAAACTATGGCAAGTCCTTAAAGAAATGGGAGTGCCTGACCACCTTATCTATCTCCTGAGAAACCTACTGACAGTGTCATCAAAGCAACCAACATGGATTTGACAGAACTACGGGAGGCAGTGGAAGATAGGAGGGCCTGGCGTGCTCTGGTCCATGGGTCACGAAGAGTCAGACACGACTAAATGACTAAACGACGACGAAATCCCTCTGAATTTTCAAGGGGCAATACTTCTAAGTAAACATGCCTGGAACTGTAGTCTAAAAGCAGAATCTTCAAACTGCTGACTCCAGAATAGCCTTGACTCAGAAACAAGCCAAGTACAATGGTCAGTGAGCCAGATTCTACACATCTAGCAAGTGCAACTGGTAAATTATGCTGTTTTAGAGGTGATGTTTTGTGGTAAAACAGATGGCAGAAAATGTAAGTCTATGAATGCTACTGAACAAATGAGCAAACCCACTTTGTAAATGGGAGTGTCAAGAAATTAATACTATGTGGTTCCTCTATAGGTGCAGATAAATATTTAAACTTGTTTAATGTCTAGAACACAGCTGGGCATTCTTTAGCCCAGAGCTTCCATCAGCCCATCTGCCATGGCCAACGGTAAGGGATCGTGGGAGTTGTAATCCAAAACACTTGGAGGGCCAAATATTTCCCACTCCCTTGATTAAGAAATGAATTGCTGTAACAATGTTAGCTAATGCAACTTCGTAAAAAATAAAATCCTGATCATTTTTTAAAATAATCAGATCTATTAGTCTCACAGTGTTCCCCCACCACAAAAGTGGAAAGCCCCTCTGGAGAGGCTCCCACTAGTTGTCATGTCAATGTTTTCTATATACATTAATTAGGGATAGAATGAATTGGCTGATGTCTATCTGTCTGAATTATACTTCTTAGTTTAAAGACTTTAGGATAATAGCAAAAGAATAAAAGCTTAGGGTGGGGAGGAAAGAGTTCATCGTACCACATGGCCAAGGAGATCTCCGTATTTGAATTCCCAGACAGGTGCCTGCAAGCGGTAGACCTCCAAGATATCTTTGTCGTCCATCACTGGAATGGGAGAGCCAGTGGGGCAGAAAGTATAACGAGCCTGACAGTAAGGATCGGTTTTTGGGCGGTAATCAAAACGCCTGTATTGAAATAAATCAATTCTTTTTAAAATTTTTAATCATTTTAATTGAAATAATAAATACTATTTTTATTTTAAAAATAAAACAAACACAACAACATTACCACAATAAGCTAACATCTGGGACTCATCTCTTAACTTCACATCACAGTTACGTGTCTCATAAAGCTGCTCCACCAAATTGGCTTTCCTATTAAGTGGTTAAACCATTTTTGTTATAAAAGGTTTGCCTTTGAAACTTGACAATGCAAGATGTGTACACACATCAAGCCCTTTCTGAAGTGATCAGTAGTGAGTATGAAATATGCCCATGTGCTCTCACCCTTAAGAGTGGTGTCAACATTTAGTTCACAATCTTAAATTTTAAGAGCTTGTCTGGCAAGTTCTTTTTGCTATACGGTTAAAACATGAACACGAAGTGAAATCTAGAGATCACCGTAACACTTACCATGGTTTCGCATGGGGTTGGGAAATGCCAGGGACTGCAATCCCTCACCATTGATTTAGGACTGATGGGAGCTGCAGTCCAATCGCTGGAGATCACCACATTTTCTCTCCTCAAATTAGTACTTTTCCAAGTGCTCAGAAACACCCTAGAGGTGGGTTGATTTCAGGCATCTACTTTGCACTTCATTTGGAGTTTTAAGATCCACCAGTCAGAATTAAATAAAAGCTGGTACAGTATAAGTCAATGGACTGGAGCTGGGACTGAGAGTTTCAATCCCCACTGCATTTCCCTGGAGACGGGCCAGCTATGTTAACCCACAGCATCCAATACAGTATATGGCTGGGAAGTTACATACTCTGCCAATTGTGGGAAAGTGGCACCAGTCCAAAATGCTAACAGGAGGAGGATTTGGTAAACAACGCGAAATCCGGGATTTTTAAAAAATTGCCAGATAACCGTGGTCCTTCTAGGTAGAGAGAATCCACTTCCGATCTATTCCCCACCCCCACCAGCTCTTTTCATTTCAACAGCACAATTTACGGTAGGGTGGGAAAGCACGGTGAGTGTTATCTTGTAACTGTCACCATTGGGTAGAGATCAGAAACTGCGTCTACCCTAGTGCAACACACCTAGAAGTCTACCAGCTCCCGAACTCCCTTCCGCTCACTCCCACTATACCTCTTTCTCTCCTCCCACGTGAATATGTACAGGAGTGCTGCCTACTGGAAAGGGTCCGGCTACGCACCTGAGAGCAGCCCTATCCCATCTTGCCTAAGCGACCTTCCTTCCGCGCAAAACCGGGGAAGGGGCGGCCCACCCCACTCACCTGTATGGCACAGGCCACCCTCCTTGCCGCGGAGAGGCTGCCCTCAAGCAGGCACAATGGCAGAGGAGCAGCAGAAAGGGGAGCGAGGCCCACCCTTCAGCCATACCCGCCGTGGGCGCAAAGGGCAAAGCGCGCCGCAACCGCTGCCCGGGCTTCCGCTTCCATGCAACTTCACTCCCGCCGCCCTCCAGTCGAGGGAATCAGCTGATGGGCTCGGCCCGTCACGTGACAGGGAAGGCCGCCGCAGTCTTTTCACGCGCCTCCGGAAGCACGCGCTCCCCGCCCACTCAGGGGAGGCTGGGTCACCCCACGTGGGTGGAAGGGAGCCGAGGTTTCCCTTCCTCGCGCACCTCTGGGGGGACGGGGAGTAGCGGGACGGTGCGCCTGCTCTCGAGCGCACATTTGAGGGACGCGGATACGAAAGGGGCGGAGCCGTCATGCACACCAGCGTAGGGGAGCGGATAGGGCGGCGGGCGAGGGCGCGGGGGGGGGGGAGCAGGGCTTGACGCCCCACCTGGCCGCGGAAGCTCACTGGGGGGAGCCGAGCTGGTGAAAGCCGCTCCTTAAATATCTCCTGCCTGGACAGCCCTCTTGGGGCTCGCTCCAACTTAACGTCACACAAATAGACTCCCCGTCTAAGGGCCAGCCCAATGGGAACCGTTCTGAAAGCTTGCCGCAAAAAAAGGGGGGTTGGGTAAAAAAAAAGGCAGAGTCTACAATTTGCTGGGGCTTTTGCAAGAGCCTCCTCCCCAATAAAAAAACCACATGCATTCATGATTACATCGCTCCATCTTTTTACTTTCTTCCGCTACAAAAGGCGAGCCCTGCTTGTTGACAGGTGAGGTTTCTCACCCCAGAAAGAGAAACCTTTGGGTCGCCTTCTGCAGGCGGGCGCACCCACGGGCGCAGGGATGAAGAGGATAGGTCCCCTCAGAGGTGCCCCGCATGCTTTGCCCCGAGCTGCCCGGGCCTCGGTTCCCAGGGGACGGGAAGGCGCCGGGCGCAGGGACGGAGAGGATGGGTCCCCTCAGAGGTGCCCCGGATGCTCTGCCCCGAGCTGCCCGGGCCGCGGTTCCCAGGGGACGGGAAGGCGCGCGGCTGACCTTCCTTCCTCCTCCCTCCCGCTCCTTCTTCTCCTCCTCCTTCTCCTTCCGGACCAGCGGAGAGCGCGGCGTCAGCGCCTGGGAGGGGAGGGGAGGCGGGCCGTCGTCTTCTCGCCCGGCGGAGCCACCGAGGACAGCAGCAGCAGCAGCATGGCGGGGAGGCGGGTGGCGCTTATCCTGGCCGGCTGCGGCGTTTTCGACGGGAGCGAGATCCACGAGGCCTCGGCGGTGCTTGTTCACCTCAGCAGAGCGGGAGCCGAGGTGAGGCCGCCGCGGCTGTCCTGTGTGTCACGCCCGT